GGGCCAAGCTGAACCCGAAGCTCGAAAGCACGGCGTTAGAGGTGCATCTACGGTCAGCTGTCGCATGTGTTGGTAGCGATGGCTGCGCATGTGCCGACTTGGACGAAGTTCAAAGTCGAAAGTCGAGAATGCCGCGAAGTGCACCCCAAGACTGCACTCATTCTTTGGTGTCCCGCCACGACCGCACGGAATGCCAGCCTAGCCGCTGAAGCCGTCCTGCCACATGACATACAGGCAACAATGACAATCAAAAACAAAGATGCTGGCAGGCATTCTGACTTGCCGGATGGCCACATGCACCTGCAGGAAATGCCCACAGAAGCACCATTGCAAAAGACTATTGAACCTTTCCGAACAAACGCTCGCAGAATGCCCGGATCCCAGCAGCTTCGTAAACGACAAGTCACGAACACTTACGCTCACGAGACAATGTCAGATCGCAGCTTCCTGACCACCACATGCTACGTAAACCAGTGCCGAAACACCCCGTGCTCGCTGCACTCTTACTGGCAATATTTACCATGCAAGGGCGACATTTTGACAGCAAGGCATAGGCAAAGCAGTGACGAAGACGTCAGAGCCCCTATTGCGCTGTTGATAGTGTTTGCCGCGGGACTCGGCATGAGCAGCCACTCTGCATTGTCACATGCAGGCTGGATTGTGCAAATTTCCGGCCGATGCCTGCCAGGCACAGAAACTGCTCGCAAGTGCACGGAAGCGTGCATCTAGGGCGGCACATCTAGAAACCGTAAATCTCCTTTTCAAGAAAAGAGGCTCAGGATCTTGAGACTCCGAGATTCACGACCGGAAGCAAGCCTTTGCCGCGTCACCCTGTGGTGGACAAAAGTGCCTTCATGGAGGGCCATTGAGTCAATGGCTGCACCCCGCCACGAAGCTGCGGCAAAAAGGAAAAGTGCACGGAAGAAGGTGCCCGTACCTTGGACATGCTGACAGCGCCAGCGCCGGGGTCTCGCAAAACTAAACACACCGAATGCACACCGGCAATCAGACAGCTAGATCACAACTATGATCGTCGCCGCACGTCTGGCATAGTGGGTTGGGTTACTTGCACATGTCTCCGCGCACTTGCGTAGCTGTCCGGAAAGCATTGTCGTACGGAGATCTGTTTCGAGAACTGAAGGAAAGAGTTCTGGCAGCCTGCCCAAGGACCAGGCCTATGCCTGGGCCTGAGCACTTCGTGTTGCTCCACGAGGCGGGGGCCCGCTAATTAAAAACAGTCTGCGGCGATCATGTGTTCCAGGTGTCACTGGAACCTGCGTTCGTGTGCCTGATGTTTCTGAACAGCCAAGGTACAAAACAGTTCAAAGAGGATTTGTCTAACAGCTTCAAGCTGACATGGTAGAACAAGAACAACGGTACCGATGCTTCTGTAAGCACAGGCGTACTAGCATCGAACGATTTCAGTAGAGACTGAGTCGCTTCATTCTTCGTCAAGCTCTGGAATGAAGACTGCGGGAATTCAAGAATGCAACACTTCGCAGACTCGCCGACAGGTGCCTGGCAAATCCCAACGAGCAACATTTTCGTGACCGGGGAGTTGAGCGCTCGAGTTGACTGGCTGGTCAGCAGTGCCGAAGATCATGCACATCCTGCTTGAATGAACATTTCCAACAGCAGCAAGGGGATTGGTCCTGAAAGCATCTCTTCGCAAAACTACGGAGACGGTTTTTAAACATGCAGAAAATTTCAATTTCTAAAAGGACATTTTATACTACCTCCGTGGCTGTTGGGCCCGGGGCACCAAGTCAATTAATGGTGGAGACCTGTGGCACCTCCGTGCCCATCTGCAGAGGCCAAGGCCCAGGCCACGAACAGGTTTGCGAGGGCAGCGTCCTGCTGCTTATGCTCACATTGAGGGCGGGCCGGGCGGCTTCGGCAAGGTGGAAGGCTTGGACCCTCCACTTATTTAAAAAGTGTCACGTAGGTTCTACATGTAGAGCCGACAGCGTTTCGCCTTGGACGCCGAGATGGCTGCGCCGGCCAGTGCTGCTTTAACTTTAACCCAGGATGGCCTAGGTTTTCTGCTCAAACTCTCTCAGTGAGACAGCTGGCTGTATGCTCACGCGGCTTCTTTTAGGTGGAACCAGCACGAGGCATCTTGTCGTCATTTAAGATCGAATCCACACTTGTTGCAGCATGTCTCTGATGCTGTGCGATTCTTGCGCTGCTGGGCTCGTGGCTGGAATGAAGAGAAAACGGCAGCTGAATTTTTAGTGTGGCCGTGGAGGTGAAGCCTCCACAGGCAGGGTTGTGGTGCTTAGGGAGGGGTCTTCGCTCAGGAGATCCCAGCGGTCCGATTTTTTGTCGAAGCCTGGCGAAACTCGCAGCATTTTCAGCTGCCCTTGCAACAAAGCTCCTCCTCACCATTTTCGGCAGGAACTAGCCGCCGTGTCCGCAAAATGCGGAGGTGGTCGCCTAAGCGAAGACATTGCCCAAACCTTAAACTTCCAATGAGCCTCGTGACGAACTCAAGGATCGCATTTTGAGGTCTAGATGACAAACATTATGACAGTCCTATGCTTCTGGAGCACAGCCGTGTTAGGCTGAAACGACAGAAGATTCTGCATAGCCCCGCTTCTTTGAACTTCCGGTTTTGGTGCTATCGCGACTGACAGAGAGCTTTGCCTAATCCTTCGGCTCCTCCAACACCGATGACTCCCGCACTGAGGTGGCAAACAACAGCGCATGCGGCGTCTTTGTGTGTCTGTGTGCCATGTCTTAGACAATTAAGAAACCCACGGTTGAATCATGGAATTGTACTTGCAGTCATTCCACCCGTGCACCACGGAATACTTTGCCCCGGGCTCAGAATTTGGAGCCTGTGCATGTTCAGGAGTGAGATTGCTCAAATTGTTGGACATGGGCCCGGAGTTCCACAAGGCAAGATTTTCGGCTCAAATCAGCCGAGATTACATGGGCCCGGAGTCCCACAAGGCTACTACGAAGCTTCAAGACTTCCGCTCGATACGACAGCAGCACACAGCAGGCAAACACAAATGGGCTGGCGTGATGGCCTGCATCAGAGCTTGAAAGGAGTGTGAGCTCCTTCTTCTGCTTTCGTGCATAAGTGGCGTTCTGACAAGTACTGAATTTGCAGTATGCCGGCCCCCCCCCCCCCACGGCGGACATCTCTAAACCAAAGACATCGATCCACGAGGCTGTGGGTTCCAGTCCATGTCACGCCTTTTGATTTTGTTCTCTCGCGAAGTCTTGGGTCCGACCGGCTGCGAGCAAGACTGAAACTGAACCGGCCGCCGAAGATTCCCAAATTGGATGCTGCAAAGCCTCCGTTATGCACCTATCAGTTTGCATGTCATACTGCGTCAGGAAATCAAGTCAAGGAATGCTGCTGCTAGGGAAGGTTGGAGGCCGCGATGTGCTGACACCTGGTTTAGGTGCACCAAGTTTCGAATCTTCGCTGCATAGGAGGACAGCATTGTTACGAAGCAAAGAACATGGAATGTGTTGCGAGAATGACCATCTCATGCTGGCAGAAGTTCACAGATCAAGTCTTGCTGGAGGCCAGGGCCAGGGCAGTCTCCACGGGACAAAGTTGCCGCGGCCCGTGGCAGCAACAGCAGCAATAAGTTATGAGCATTTCTGAGCTCTCCCGGGAGTCTGTCCGGGAATGCCGGAGTGCTTTAAAGAATCCGTTTGACTGCTTATCCCTTTCTGCTCTGAGTATCTAGACTCAGGCCACAAATCGACTCAAGGTCCGAATGAAACTTCAAAGGCCCGCCACAAGCCGGACAACCTGACGGCCACATCCATGAGGGCTGCGAGACTGTAAAGACTTGTCGCCAAGCCTTGAAGCGAGGGCTTGATACGAAGCCGACGTCCGCAACCAATGCCACTGCATGAAAGCTGCTTGACTCTGTATCGCTACGCAAACAGCCAACCTGCGGCACGTGCCGCGCACTGATCGCTAGATCCAAGATACTGACGGCTTTCGACGATTCATATCAATGGCGAGGGAGCATGCTTATCTATACGTCGCTCTTGGACACACGCGGAACTTACCTGAAGGGAACTTACCTGAAGGAGAACGTTTTGAACGGTCATGCAGGCCCGTGCTAGCTGTCTTTGCCAGTGTCCGCAAGGTCTCGTTCTGCAGCACGCTGCCTCCCACAGCAGCCCCCACAACCCTGCAAGGCATCATCTTCCAGTCAAGAGGGCACTACCTGATTCCTGGAAGATTGCGAGGTCCCCGTTCTTCCAATCGAACTCGATCGAAGCTGATGCATTGGCCCGATGCACCCACAGTTTAGCACTCAGAACCTTAGCCCTAGTTAGACGCCAATTAAGCAATGCACTTTCAAAAAGCCTTCCCGTGTGAAAAGACGGCCTTGCACGCAACAGCACAGGTAGGCAAACACTAGGCAGCCGTGTTATGCACAACGCGGGCGGATGCCGATCACCTCGGAGGTGATCGACTTCCACAACGACAAGCCCGACTTCGCAAGTACTGTCAGATATCGCATGGCATTGGATTCACAAAAGCCCTGTTCGTCCAGTGCGATGCCAGCCATGCTCGTCCAGCTACAGTGCCACTGTTTGTCGGCCGTGAGTCTGAGCTGCAACCTGCAACGCTTACAACACGGCTGCGCTTGCTGTGTCGCTTGTCTGTTCATGGAAGGGTGCAGGGCTGCAGGGCTCCTCAGCAGGAGTCGCCATCTCCACTGCGTGCGAGGAACCACTTCTACCAACAATACCTCGCATCGTCTACCGACTAGGCATCTGCCACCGACAAGACATGATTAAGACCACACGTTTGGCGTCGTGAGGCACACATGTACCACCAGAATGATTCTGCCGCGAGCCGGCAGGCTGCACCAGACGCCCGCAGCAGCAACAAGCTGCCGGTGCTGCACACGCAATTCCTCTTAAGCTCCCAATGCTCCAGTTCTCGCGGTGTCGATGAACACTTTCAACAAACGGAGTGCAAAGAACTGCTGTAGAGCTGCATACCAACTTGCCGCCTGGCCGCTGCATCCATGGAAAAATGAGCATTGGGAACCTTGTTTCCGCCAGGTTGCCAGCTGGCCTGAAAGCAGTCCGCTGGGCATCACCGGCTCGCCTGCCTGCCCCTTGCTGCGTGACAGAAGGGGCACACGTGCTGCCATCGCAACGACAATCTTGACTCCACACTTGACAAGTGCATCGGTCTTCCGAAAGAAGGGAGCTGCACCCGAAGACCACATGGCTTCCTGGCAAGCATCCTCGGGCTCTTTGGAGGAGCCCTTCCTAAACACGGACGATGTACAGCCGCGTGGCCCCTCCTCCATTCAAGCAGTGCTGGTAATGAGAAATCAGATCGGGCCATCATATAATCTGAGGAAGACAGTAATTCCTGCGAGTGATCAACGCCCACACGTCAAGCTCCACATGGGGCACGGCTTCTCGCATCACGACCGTGAACGCCGAAGGTTTACATCTCTACAACAATGTGGCAACACAAGGACCGTAACAATGTCAACATGCTCGTATTTGGGAGGATAAGCTTCGGAGCCACAAACATGTCGGTGCCGAACCTGTCGTCGCAACGCGACAAGGCCCCTGCTAATGAAAAGCTGCGATGTTGCCGCAAGCACGGCCCGGTAGTATTGCAAGGGCAGCTGGAGGCCTCAGAATGTGATTCTCAGCTTGCTTCGCAGAAGAAGAAGGAATGGGCTTCCACCACAAATCCCCAAAAACTGCTCGGACTGGCAATGACACAGTAGTAGTAGTAGTAGTAGTAGCAGTAGTAGTAGTAGGTGGTAGTAGTAGGTAGTAGTAGGTAGTAGTAGGTAGTAGTAGGTAGTAGTAGGTAGTGGTAGGTAGTAGTAGGTAGTAGCAGGTAGTAGGAGGTAGTAGTAGTCGTCGTCGTCGTAGTAAGCACCCCGGCTGAAATCGCGGACTTCCTTTTTATGAGAGATGATGGCGCCACTTCCATTGACAAGCTTGCAGGCTTGCGCAAAACCAGTACGTGCAAGCTAAACAGAGGGAACTGGGTGCCCAAGCCTCATGCTAGGGTGCACGGGTCCAACAAGTGCCCCTCTACTGACCAGGAGAGACAAAGGCACAAGGACGCAAGCAGCGTCGTAAACGCAGACCTGATACAGCACTCACTACTGGCGGCTCAAGCCAAACATGATGAGCAGCTTCTTCAGCATGCCCTTGCCCTTGCTCAAACCCGCAAAGTGGATCACAGCGTGGATTTACGTGCCAAGGATTGATCAGGTCTGCCCGGCACTCATCCCACGACTGTGCTTTGCCTGAGCAGCAGGATGGAATTGCATTGCAACCTAATGTCCCCAAGGCATGCACCCCCTTACTCCCACCATGATCGCCTACCGCCCCCATTCAGGTCTGGAACAGAATGCCACAGAAGCGGAACATCAGGTGCCATCAGGACCACTGCATGGGGATGTCGTTCCGCTCACTAATGTGCTGAGTGTATGTAGAAGTGCCTACCCCACCCGCCCAACCCTAGCTTGAGCCTTCCCGTGTGTTTGCAGCTGCAACTATGTCCGAGAGACCCAGGGAAGGCCAACCCCAAGAGGGGGAAAAGCAGCCAAGGTCCAGATACAGAAGCGATGGCACCAGAAGGAGCACCAAAGGTGAAATAGCCAAGCGAACACCATATGTTCAGTTCTGGAAGGACGTACAGGCCAGACAAGGCAACGCGAACAGAGGGAGTCAAGCGGCCCCAATACTCCGACCGGGAGGTCGCGATCCGCACGTCGATGCTGCGCGGTGTCCGGAGGACCACGTACTTCCTCGAGACAAGGGCAGTTGCAGCGGCCTGCTACAACCGCGCCGGCCCAACAACCAGCCAGCCACGCCCTACGGGCTCTTTCCTCGAACGAGGACACAGACGACCTCAGATATCTTGCAGAGTCGAGGAGAGTGCGGGGAATGGCGGGGAAAGAAGCCTCTTTAGAGGATGTCGGCTCGGGTAAGCCCACGGGTATTCAGGCAGGCGGCTTAGGGACTACCCCTACCTCGTCAAGTCAACCAAAGTAAACCCGAAGTTGTCAGCAGCCGGAGAAGAAGCTCTCAGGGCCCCACGCGCGGGAGGGGACCCTCCGAAGGGTAATAGAAATCCGGAGCCCTCCAACAGCCTAGTCACAGACTCGTTCTCAGAGGCGGGTGTGCCCATTCAAAGCGAAGTCTAGCAGGGCCTGCAGGTTGAGGGGGGTTCTTGCACCCTGGTGGGGTGAGAGAGTGAAAATTCCAAGGACGTGATACGAAGAGAAGGATGGCCGGGGCCGATGCACTGAGAAATCCAAGGAGGAAAGAGGCAAGGAGAGCTGCAATCGAAGTCCCTTGGCAGTTCGCCGGGCAAAGCAGCAATGCCTTCCTGGAAAATCGCCACGAACTCCCTTGCAAGGGGGCCCCACATTACTTGATCTGCGCCAGGATGGCGCTAATGCTTCGTCACTACTCTCATTGTACAGTTCTTGATCATTCCTTTGAAGGCAACAGTACCCGGTGTTGACGCAAACCCTTTGTTTAAAGGCTGACCAACAGATCCTCACCCAAACGATCATGAGCAAGGTGATCACGCATCGTCACGCGATGAGACTCAAAGAGAGACTACGTATTAAGACAATTTTGTGTTGTGGTGCATGAATTTTTGTCACAACGTATCGAATTAGTCGAGTGCCACATGCAGTCGGTGTGCTCTCATCCAACGGTATGCCGACGTCACAAAGCCAAACCCACCAAAAGCAAGAGCCTTGAGCGGGGTAGAGCATAAACGACTTCGCAAGAGGGTACTGTCCAGGAAAACAATCAGCTGACCAAGAGTAGTAGTAGTCGTCGTCGTCATCGTCGCAGCAGCAGCAGCAGCAGGAGTAGCAGGAGTAGCAGTAGTAGTAGTAGTAGTAGGAGTAGCAGTAGCAATAGCAGTAGCAGTCGCAGTAGAAGTAGCAGTAGCAGTAGCAGTAGCAGTAGCAGTAGCAGTAGCAG